ATAACCAAGAGGATGGCGCTGCGAAGTTGGAGCGATGTCAGAGAGAGATCGAGAGTGCCCAGAAAGACAAGGACATTGCCGAACAGGAAAAGACGCGCGTGATTAGACTGATCAACAAGACCCAGAAGGAGCTGACCAACCACGACGCGAACAAACGTACCATCGCTGATAATATCAAGTATCGCCGAAACCTACGGGAACTGCAAGATGTCAGGACCGAGATAGCTCAGCTAAGTGCACAGAATGCCGAAGCTGATCAGAGTCACTGGAAAAAGGAATCAAGATATTGGGAGGGCCAACATGATAAATTCAAGACGCAGAAGACTAGCAAGTGGGGTTCTGCAAAAGCAAAAGACGATGAGCTCCTGAGGTTGATAAATGAATGGCAAGTCGATTACAAGGATGCAGCATACAATTTCAAGAAAGCTCATATCGAGGTGGAGGTAAGTCGGAGTCAAAGCCTGGACTATTTGCAATGTCAACATCTAACTTGTTGCTAGACGACCAAAGCCGCTGTGGAAGACTTGGGACGTTATGGAGGTGCCCTGGACAAGTGAGTTTCCTCAAATCCGCGGGCTTTACCTTTTTGAAGCTGAAATCCATATAGAGCGATCATGAAGTATCATAGTATCAAGATGGAAGAGATAAATCGCATCATCGAAGAGCTGTGGAAGAAGACGTATCAGGGCACAGATGTGGATACCATCCTGATTCGGTCAGACAACGAAGCAGCGAAAGGCAACCGATCGTACAATTATCGGGTTTGCATGGTCAAACAAGACGCGGAGATGGACATGCGAGGGCGTTGTAGCGCTGGGCAAAAGGTGCTGGCGAGCATCATCATTCGCCTGGCGCTAGCGGAGTGCTTTGGAGTGAACTGCGGCCTCATTGCTCTAGACGAGCCGACGACTAACCTGGATCGGGACAACATTCGCTCACTCGCCACATCACTTCACGACATCATCGAGAGCCGACGGCACCAGTCGAATTTCCAGTTGATCGTTATCACCCATGACGAAGAGTTTCTAAAATTTATGAAATGTCCCGACTTCTGCGATCACTATTATCGTGTTTCCAGGAACGAAAAGCAAAAGTCCTGCATCGAGAGGCAGTCGATTGCCGATGTCATGTGAAATGGAGAAGGGGTTTGCATGGCTATGGGGCCGGGCTTGACTTTGCTGGATTCATGAGAGATGCTCCTTAGATGATGATTCACAGCTTCGTGCATGTATTCTTAGATAGCTGCTAGATACTCGAAGAAGCTATGGCTTTGACTCGATAGAGTTGTCTTGGTTGCCACCTTGTCCGTTTGCACTAAGTGTCCTTGAGACATCATGCGTACGGGTAGTCAGTCGGTGTCTCAATGCTTTCCGAGCGCAGATCTCCCCCCGATCCTTGAGCAATCAGTCACTTGGTCTGCCTCCTGGACTGAAGTGAATATCACAGCATGCCTGACGCCAAACCTGCTTCCAGATTCCGTCACACCTTCGCTCGTCTCGTTCTGCCCTCTTCCAATCGCAGACTCAAGGATGGTCGGCTCCGCTAACAGCTTCTCCGCAGAGTCGCGTGTTGTACTACTACTGAAACCCGGAGAGGACCCCCGAGTCGAAACAGCCAAGCATTTGATACCCAAGCCTTTTGATCGTGAGGAAGGTGTCAGAATGTCCAATGCGAATACAAGCTGTTCACGACATTCATGTTGACTGATTGAAGATTACCAGACCTTCATACCTTTGTGTCTCCGATAGCTAGCTCTGTTGCAGAAGATTCGGAGATGGACCAGCTGCTCTGACCAATTTGCGGACCTCTCTGTCTGCGTCTTCACATCGTACCCCAATACACGCCCAGCGATCTCAGCTTGCGGGCATTCGCTCGCGTTCGCATATGATTCAAATTGTGCATATGCTAGTGACGAACCGCTCGCACTGATCTGACATTCCTCCAACGATGTTATTCCCCGCACTGAACATTGCGCCTATTTTTACCTCACTCATCCGAATCCTCGGGCCCAGCAGATTCGTCATCCAATTCCTCTTCGCTTTGGCCCAAGACCTTTTCGATCAATTCCAGCGTTGCTCTTAATGGTAGGCCCACAACATTGTCCCAACTCCCCTCGATCCTCTCCACCAGAATGGCGCCAACACCCTGTATTGCGTAACCGCCTGCCTTATCCGCTCCTTCTCTCGTTCGTACATAGGCCAACAGCATTTCGTCGCTAGTATCACGTCCGAATCTTACCGTCGTCTCCTCCACCGTGCTTTCCGAGGCGTATCCCGGATGTCGCGCACTGGCCAATGGCGCCATGGCCACTACAGCGGTATAGACTCTATGGTAGCCGCTGTTTCTAAGCATCTTGAGCATGGCGATGTGATCGGCTTCGGATCGAGGCTTCTCGAGGACTTGGCCTGAAAGTGAAACAACGATTGTATCTGCGGCGAGGACTAGATCGTAATGCCGGAGTCAGTATTTCCTATTCGAAGGGTTATCGAGCCTTGGAACATGTCTACAGAGTCGAAACTCACAAGACATGTCTCAAGACTCAAGACTTGGCCAAAAGAGGCAAGGTGGACTCCATAGATACGTACCGACAGCTGGCTCCCCAAATTCGGTGTTATCCAATTCAGACGAGTAGACATGCATGGCCTTTTGGGTGGCGGTCTGGAGAACATATTCGAAAGGGGCGAGTGATTTTGGGAGGTTTTCGGGTAAAGTGGAGGGTTTGATTTCGAGCTTGGTGAGACCGATCTAACAAAATCAGCCCCGGTCCAAGCATATGTGGGAGGAGGACAACCTGTGCCAGCAGCTGCTTCCGCCGTGGAGAAGCAGAGGCAAGAATTACCCTTCTGTCACGAAGGGTATTGATCAAAGGGAGATCTAGGGGGAGAGGGAGCCGTAAAGGTGGGGGTGGCTGCGCGGCAGTCTCATAGCTCGGCGGTGGTTCTGCGGGTGCAGGTGCATACTTTGCATCTGTCATGTCGTTCGAGGTAAGCAAATTGAATCACCTGAATATTTAATTTTTGATGTTTTCAAGTACTTTACTACTCTAATCCAGTACACATCCACGACATCCTAGAGTATAGCTGGAAGCCACTGACATTTACCGCGCGCGGTTCTTCGGCCGTAGATAAGATAAGATCTCCCTTGATCGATCAGGAGGCAGTGCCCCCTTCCGGCCGCATAGATCCGTGGATGCGGGTAGAGTCGCGGGTGACAAAGAGATCGGAACGCCAAGCCCGCACTGACAACAGTACGGCTAAGGCACTAACTATGTAATTGACGAGTGGTGGGCTAATATTTTCAGATCGTTTATCAACGAGAAAGTGGATAGTATGTCAAATAGATTACAAGCAGTCATAGACGGTAAAGGAGCAATGACAGGATACAAGAACAGAGAGATACATAGAGATTTGTATGTGTGTCTCCGCGCAGTAGTCTGGCTTGGCGTTCCAATCTTTTTGTCACCCGCGAGAGTACTTAGCCATAATGTGCGCCATGACGTTGCTGTGAGCCCCCCCCCCCACTGGTTATAAGTCTTTCTTACAAATCTCATTCTCAATGTTCAAAGTCCAGTCAGTGTATTTCGTTTCCTCTCCTACTCTTGGTACAGTGTATTTCCCTTGCATATAGCTCTGTGTTGTCTGCAGATAGAGTACGTTGCTGTGTACCGGTCTTTCGCTCCAGTAGCAGGGATCATTGGCCAACATGCCACAGAACAAAGGTCTCATTTTTAAGTCAGTCCCGACCGACTGGCCTGTGGAAGGCAAGGACTTGACAATTGAGGATCGAGGGTTCGATCTCGACGCTGAGCCAGACAAAGATGGAATCACCACCAAAAACTATTACCTTTCCTTCGACCCTTATCAGCGTGGTCGTATGCGTGCCCCGGAGATAGCATCCTACTCTCCGCCTTTTGCGTTGGGGATGCCCGTCACCAATTCGGCAGTGTCAAAAGTGCTCAAGTCCAACAACTCGAAGTTCAAGGAGGGTGATATTGTGACTGGGGCTTTGCCGACAGAAGAGTACTCGAGCATCTCTGCGGAGGTTGCCAACAACATGGTTAGGAAATTGGACAATCCGTATGATCTCGATGCCAAGCTCTTTGTTGGCGCCCTTGGCATGCCTGGCCTGACGGCATATTCATCTTTCTACGAAATAGGGGAACCCAAAAAGGGAGAGACTATATTCATCTCCGCCGCGAGTGGGGCTGTTGGACAGATTGTTGGGCAACTTGCGAAGCATGAGGGATTAAAGGTGATCGGCAGTGTGGGTAGTGACGAGAAATTGGCCTTCATCAGGAAAGAGCTCAATTTTGACGAGGGTTTCAATTACAAGAAGGAGAATCCTAGCGATGCCCTGAAGCGGTTGGCGCCCAAGGGTATTGATGTATATTTCGAAAACGTTGGGGGAGAGCAACTAGATGCCGCTATTGCGGCAATGAACAACTTCGGTCGCATTAGTGAGTATAGCAACCTGGATAGCTTTGTCTGACCGTTCGAATGACTGATCATCTCGACAGTTGCCTGCGGTATGGTTTCGCAGTACAACATATCAGACCCGAATCAGAGATACGGAGTCAAGAACTTGGGAGCGGTAGTAGGTAAGCGTCTCAAAATGCAAGGCTTCATTGTCGGCGACGCGAACATGGGCCCCAAGTACGCCGCAGATCACCAGAAGAACGTCGCCAAATGGATCTCGGAAGGGACTTTCAAGGCACAGCAGAGCGTAACAGTAGGAATTGATAATGCCATCAAGGGTTTATTAGGGATGCTGAAGGGGGAAAACTTTGGCAAGGCTGTCTTGACAATCGAGGAGATGAAAGTGAGTTCGGACTTTGAAAGGTTTCTCCTCAGAAGCTTGGAAACAGTATGCTAACAGTCTTAGTGAGAACATGGCATCTTTACCAAGCTTTAGCAGCAGACTAGATAAAAGATTGGTCGTCCCAGTTACCCAAGCTCTCTGCGTTGTGCCTCGAAGAAGCACACAACGCTGTCTTTTGTAAATTACAGATACTCCTCAGTCAGGGTCCTCATCAATTTTTTACATTGATCCACTCTAAGCCGAACACCTGGACTCATCTTCCTAAAATTTGAACCAACGCCTCTATCCTTTTGAACTGGAGCTTGCGAGCCTGGTCTTATCTTTTCAATGGCATCCCATGTCTTCCGTTGATTTGGCTGAGCGGTGACATCGACATCCAACGTTGGCCACTCTCCTTCCTTTTTTGCGCCCGCAATATTTCTCTCCCCAACAACGCATATCATGTTGTACTTTTTGTTCTTGGCCCGCACAATCTTTTGAGATATCGAATCACCACTATCATCAACGTCGACAGTGTAGGTTCGGCAGTGTATTTGCTTTGGCAGGTTGGTCAAGGCCGTATTCGAAAGACTATCCTTCAGATTTTTCGCGAATTTTATGACGGGGGAATTGTCAGTGACAGTCAGAATTATGACTTGGCGAGGACTGAGCCAGAATGGTAATTGACCGTTATGATGCTCGAGTAGGAGAGCCATAAACCGTTCTAGAGACCCAAGCACAGCTCGATGAATCATAACTGGTGTAACTGTACCCATCGTTTGCCGCGAAACGGAGTTCGTAGTCGGCTCACCCTTGGCTTCTAGCTCAGGTGCTGGTGCCTCGTACCCCAACAAAAATCGCTTTGGCAGCTGGAAATCCAATTGGATAGTGGCTGTCTGATGCTTTTTCCCGTCGCTGTCCCGCACGATAACATCAATTTTTGGCCCATAGAAGGCACCATCTCCAGGGTTCGTGCTCCAAAGCGTCTTGCTAGCATCTAAAGCCTCCTTCAACTGATCCTCAGCTCTATTCCACTCGTCTAGTGTGCCTATGTAATCCTTCTTGGGTCTCGTGCTTAGCACGAGCGCATAATCTTGAAAACCCAACGTTTGGTATACTAAGCGCACAAAATCCAGAGATTTTGAAATTTCAGACTTGACCTGACTTGGCCGACAGAAGATATGCCCGTCATCTTGGTGGAATCGCCGGACCCTAGTCAGTCCACTCAGGGCTCCTGATATCTCGTTTCGATGCAAAGGACTGAAATCAGCGTAACGAATTGGTAAATCTCTATAACTTCTCCGTTGACTCTGAAAGAGTATGCAATGGCCCGGACAGTTCATGGGTTTGAGGCCAAATTCTTCCGGCTCGGTATCTTCATCCACATATTTCTTCGGTTGCATCCGCTCATCGGAAAACTCAACCGGTACGGCCTCAGGCTTGTGTGACGAACTCCGGGTCACCGTAAACATATCATCCTTGTAATTTGCCCAATGACCAGATTGCTCCCACAAGGACTGCTTATACATTGTTGGTGTAAGCACTTCACGAAAGCCGAAAGCCGGATACTGGGCACGGAGGAAAGCTGTGAGTTTGTTGAATATGTGGGTGCCATCGGGTTGGAAGAAGGGCGCGCCAGGACTCGAGGTGTGGGTGGTGAAGAGGGATTGAGCTGTACCAATCGTACGATGATCTGGGGCAGGGTCAAGCTCGGCAGGGGGTTTGACCTTCTCATGGCGATTGCCCGTCTGTCCCCTTCCAAATGCTATTTTACGCTTGGATTTATCTTGGGCACGTAGGGGACCCGTTGCGGAGAAATAGACGGGAGCACCGCAAGAACAACTGCGTCGGGCTGTAAGGGACAGCCCCTTGGCGGTAATAGGAGGAGGAGTCCATGCTGATTGAGATTTCTGTTTAGGCTGCAAGAGCCGTGCAAACCTCATGAATTGATTGATGTCCTCAGTCTCAAGATTTGTACCTCGACTACAAATCATCGACGATCAAAAGTATTCTCTAAATTCGTATGAGTAAGGTTCTGAAGCGCGCTTCGCCAAGCCCAGAAGGCCAATCATCTGCGCAAGGTCACGTCACTTTCACTCTGACAACACGCAAGAAACGCGAAGTCACAATCTTGCTTGTATTACAATGTTCCCTTCTTCCACTTTTGTCTCTGCTTCTTCTTCATGTGATCTTTCTATGACACCTTTCCGCAAGACTCCATGAGCAAGTCCAGTGACACATCCGCTACACAATTCTTCGACAAGGCAGCAATACTAGAATTCTCTACAACATATATAAGATCTGGGGGTCCGCTACAATGGTGAGAGAGCGTACGCCTGCTCGGAATCGACCAAAATCCCAACTGGGCGAATCCTGGGTAGTTGATAGCGACGGCGACGATGAATACACTCCTCCGTCAAAGCAAGCGGATGGAATAAGACGTTCGCAGGGAACAGCAGGGACTGCAGAGAGCCCACGAAAAAGACCATCTCGTGTCAATGCCAGACCCAGTGCTGAACCGGAGTTCATCATGCCTTCCATACATGAAGGCAGCGTTGGTGAGTCTTGGCTCGGGGAAGAGAAACCGAGGGTGGAGAGGGAATCGAGTAAAGCGAGTAGAAGGGTACAACGACCCGAAGACAGAGGCATGTCTACAACCTACCGTTCTAAGGACCAAAGAGGAAAAGAGAAGCTCGTCAAGGCTTCAGAAGACGTTGCAAGCTTTGTAACACCAATGTTTATGTGGACGTACGATGTTTTCGGTGGGGCTCTGCATGCGTTGAAGACTCCAATCTCATACCTGATCGCCGGCTGGCTCCTTGTTGGACTGTTAGTTTTTCTGCGAAATTTGCTGTTCAGCTCCGTCTACTCTGCACTGTCGCCCGTGTGCCGCATCCCCGGCGCCTCGTTCCTTAATCTTCCAATGTGCCAGTCCCCAGTCTCGATTCAATATTCTGGCGAGGAACCGCCACCCGTCCAATTCGACCAGCTTATGACCGTGCAGAACAAATTCGAAGCGGTACTGCAAGAAAGCGCGGGCGGCGTGTCTCTCCCGCTGGACATGAAACGAGGTGAAACGTCGATTCGCGACCTACGACAAGTTGTTCGTTTCAGCCAGCTACACTCCAAGAACGAACTTGTTCTTGAGTTCGACGGCTTCATAGAAACTGCTCGCATTGCATCCTACGACCTACAAAAGTTCAATAGCCATGTTGGCCGAGGCGTCGATAATATCCTTGCTACTGCTCGCTGGACGAAGCGTGTCCTAGATGGCATCGCTGAGCGTGACGGATCTCGAGGAGCTATAACATCATTCTTCAACAAAAGACTCCTGGCGCCTTTCCAGCCGATCACATTCACAGAAGATGCTCTATTAGATCAGTACATTCAGCACACGCGCGTCGTTGAAGAGGAGATCAACCGTCTTGTGGTGGAAGCGCAAGCTCTACTTCTTGTCCTCCAGAATCTCGAGGACCGCCTTGATGTCATTCATGGCATAGCAGTACGCGATAATCTGCACGCGCACGGTAGCAGGGCGGAGGTGCTGTCGCAGCTCTGGACAATGCTTGGTGGTAACCGCAACAAACTAGGCAAATTCGATTCACAGCTACGTCTTTTGGGCCAAGTGAACACCTATCGCCAAAATGCAATAGCTCACGTAAGTGGGACGCTGGTGAGGCTGCAGGGAATGGGCGCTGAGTTAGAAGAGTTGAGGGAGCGGGTTGGAGGGGTGGAACTGCTGGGTGGGAAAGGTGGTGTTCCGCTTAGTCTGCATATTGAGAATATTGAGATGGGCGTGGAGAGATTGGAGAAGGGGAGGAAAGGCGCGAAGGAATTAGAAAATGAAGAGTTGAAGAAGTCTTTGGAGAAGGGAAAAGGAACTGAAAGGATGATCGAGGGGTGATGAACCTTCCTACTCGAGGGGATTGGATATGACTATTTCGGTTTGACCATGATAGATACCCATTTGCAGCCATTTCACGTTCGACATCGGAGGAATTCGGGGGGTAGGAAATTTCTTGTACCTCGTAGATTCTAAATAATCAATACCTTGCTGGGTGTTAAGCAATCGAATCAAACCGAGCTTCAGCTGTCCGTCCAATCACAAGATATTAACGGATCAATAGAAAGTCTCTCCATTACATCGCCTTCTAACCTTGCTTGCTTTCGTCAGCCTCGAAATCCATCACCGTCTCCGGGCGTATCATCCATGATACAGATGCTCTACATCCCGGTAGCTGTCCCCTGCATCTGAGCCTCTTCTATCTGCATTTCCTCATCACGGCCCAATACGCCCTTCATCATGCCTTCCGGCCTTGGAGGGTTGTACTTGCTGGCCGCTCGAAGTCTTGCTCCGAATTTATACAGAATCCATGGAATGGGTATCAACGCAGCTGAGATAAAACCAAAAGTCGAATATGTCCAGCCACCCGTCAAGTTAGTAATCACTATGATCACCCTCCATTAGCTGTTATGGTAAAAGAGCTTGGGTGGGTAGACGACTTACTCTGGATGATCACAAGTGGTATTATGGCCGCAAGGACCAGTCTGAACGAAGCCGCCGCAGTGAGTGCAGACAGAGTACCGCGCGGTGGGTAAGCATCGAAGAGATAGGAGATCGAGGAGATCTGAGTCACAAAATTAGATCAGGTTTAATATGCCCAGAGACTTTAGCTTACGATGATAGACTGGGCGCCCCAGACGTACACCGCGGTGCCAAATATGGGGCTCAGATAGTGAATCGACGGGCTCGCCGTCCATGCGATCCAGAAGAGTGACGTCATGACAAGGGGTCCCCCTATCATTGCAGGCAACATTCGATATTCCTCCGGTACTGTGCCGTCGTGGTTCTTCGTGCACCAGTGAGGAACGCTAATATCGATGATAGTAGACATGACAGTGGATAGCGAGGCACCGAGGATAGCTGCACTGAAGGCAATGCCTACCTGCTGAACGGTGAAGTTGTAGGTGGTCTCCAAGACAGCAGGGATGGCGATAAACCATTGGAAGGTGACCGCAAAGATGAAGCCTACTTCTAAGCTCAGTGCGATGACGATTGGCTCGGTGACCAACATCTTCAAGGGTACGAAGAATGTTACAATCGACATGTCTTGCAGGGTGACTCCACTTTGGGCATCCAGAAGCTTCAGAGGCATACCGTTGCGTTTGGCTCGGCGTCTCTGGATCTCACGTGGATAAGTATCCGGCTGCGCAATGCCAAAGAGGTAAACGCCGAGGGCAAGGATCAGAACGATCCACTGAGTCCATCGCCAGCCACCATATGCGACGACAAAGCCTCCGATAAGAGGTCCTGCGAGAGGTATGAGCCTGCCAGCTTGTTGAACAGGATGGGGTGAAGCTTACCGCATGCCGTTCCTATGAATGAAGCCAAAGCGAGGAACGAATAATAGACCACCGTGGTATTTGCAGACCAAACATCGGCAAAGCTCCCTTCAATTAAGACGAGGCAAGGGCCTCCGAAGAAGCCAGCGAAGAAGCGGCATACCGCTAGAGCTGCGAAAGAGCGGGAAAATGAGGCGCCCAGGATGAAAAGGCTGAAGGTCGGTAAGGAAATCAAGTAAATTGCCTGACGCCCGAATCGTTCACTAAGGTGTGGTGTGATTATTGGCGCGAAGGCGATTCCCAGAAGGTTTAAGGAGAAACCGAGTATTGCAACCTGCATTGTCACATCGAAGCGTTCAATAACCCCGGAGATTCCAGCTGTGTAGCTGGTGATACCTAGGGCACTATAGATGCTTAGTTGGCCTGTATCATGTATAGTGGGACTGAATTTATGACTTACACCACCCAGGCAAATGCGAATGCCACCGCTGACACATAAACTTTCTTGTAGAGCGACCAGTTTTGTGGGTTGTCAGGGTCATCAGCAGACATCATATGACCAGCAGCAGCCATGGGGTCTGCAGCGATCTTCGTCGTATCTGCGCCCGGACTTATAGAGTCGGACATGTCAAGGTGAGAAGGAGAAGCAGCATCGGAGCTCATCATTGTTGCGGCTGACCAGTTGCAAATATTTCTACCGTTTACTTCAATGGAGTGCATGTATTTCTGGTGAGGAAAGAGAAGGACGCGAAGTATATATATAACCGGAAAGAAGGGTCCATCGTTGCTCTGATGCAAGACAACATTCGGGGCTGAAAGACGTTCAAAGGACGGGATTATTGAATCTACGCCAGGAGCGTCATCTCCTCAAACGTAAGTGCTCGACGTGTGCACGGCTCAATCAGCCTGATAATGGCTCATAGGTAGAGGGAATTTTTCAGGCCAATAACATAACGGTACGGGTAATAGCATTGACGATTCCAAGTGAGAGCATGAGTGAGGAGAAGCAGCATGTATGCAAGCAGCCAAGGCTGGACGGACGAAGATTAGGAAACATGAAGATAGAAATTGCAGAGACAATTTTTTAGGAGGATCAAGTAGTTTGACATTGGAAGGGTAAGGTAGGAAAGGCAGCAAAGCCAACGATTACTGCCCTCCGGAACAGCTCCATATTTTAGGATTCAAGGAGATGGGAAGAGTTGCATGCGTAATGTATGGATGTATGGATGGATGGATGGATGGATGTATGTATGGATGTATGTATGTATGTATGGATGGATGGATGGATGTATGGATGGATGGATGGATGGATGGATGGATGGATGTATGTATGTATGTATGTATGTATGTATGTAATGGAAGATGCTTGTGTGGATGGATGGACTACCAAGACCCCGCCATCAATGCAATGGAAGATGCTTGTGCAGGAGTTATCAGGCCGCACATGCTTACTTTAAGGTCGATAAGGGGGTTTTACTAATCATCGCCGGAGAGTCTTGGCAAAATTGTAGGCGGAGAATATTTCGACTCGTATTGACAAGGCATAGGGTATAAGTAGCTATAGTGTGAAATAATACCGTATTATACAGAGATCCTAGGAGTATTTTTAAACCTTAGGAGATTTTTCGCTCAGGAGATCCCTACATTACGAGATCTTCTCCAGCCTACCACTAATGACTAAGCCGTATTTTACATTTTGGCGTAATACCTTACTATACCCGTCACATCAATAACATCCCACCCCACCGAACCACACCCCCCCCCAGCCATACCCCCGGAAGACCCCGGGAATATCACCCCCACGAGAACTTTGGCTAAATCGCTTGAATCTGACATCAGAAATAAAAAAGCGTGGATGTAAATTACAGTAGTCAGATCCCGAAAGTAAGGCTTGGCACTCGTAATTACGGAAATACTCATAGAAGACTCGCTTTCTCAGGAGACTCCCAGAAGGATTTTCAAGTCACGATATTATAATGTTGAAATATATCTGATATGAGAAGATTCTTTAAGAGAATTTCAGGGTAGATACGTTGAATTTTGTAAAAAATCCTTGTTTGTAAATAATGCTTATGGTATTCTTGTTATATAATTAGTCTACATGGACCATTACGAAAAACCCCCTGCCGACCTTAATGTAAAGTCAAGAGTTAGAGGACAGGACATAAAATAAAGTAAAGTAGTTGGAGATTACCAAATCCAAAAGATTCCAAATCCATTCGCAGGGACTCAGGGTCCAGCGGTCTTTCCTCCGCTGCTCCAAAATTACCTTATCCTCGTCGATTCCACAACATAACCCGCACATGATTACTCCCAGCATGACGTCTTGCATAAGACCAATGTTGCCCGATGTAATTAGTCCAGAATCGCGTCGTCTATGCCGATGCCTTATATGACTCGTCTCATCTCGACGTCGCCCCAATTACTCTGCTTCTATCCAACACTGGCTTCTTCCAGATTAGCAAGCATCTCCAGACAATTATCCATCATGGCCCCCATCGCCAAGCAGTATGACTTCATCGTCATCGGTGGTGGTAGTGGTGGTTCCGGCGCTGCCAGGAGAGCATCTGGCTGGTATGGAGCCAAGACACTGCTAGTGGAGAACAAACGGAATGGTGGAACGTGCGTCAATGTAGGGTTGGTGGAAGACAGTATGCCTCAGATTCCGCGCCCAGGCTAACTCTCAATCGCCGCTTTCAAGATGTGTGCCCAAGAAGATCACCTGGAACTTCGCAAGCGTATCAGAAATGCTGAAGGATGCCGTGCACTACGGCTATAAGATCCCGCAAGGTATCAAATTCGACTTCGCCGAGTTCAAGAAGAAGCGCGATGCAAACATTGAAGGCCTCAATGGGGCCTACGAGCGTAACTGGAGCCGCGACGGGATTGACCTCGTCCGCGGCACTGCTACGTTCAAGAGTCAAAAGGAGATAGAGGTCAATTTGGATGACGGGGAGAAGGCCGCCTATACTGCTCCGCACATCTTGATTGCAACGGGAGGATACCCTATCAAGCCTCAAGACATTCCTGGAGCAGAGCTCGGCATCACCAGCGATGGCTTCTTCGATATCGAAGACCTGCCAAAGAAGATGGCCTTTGTCGGTGCAGGTTACATTGCAGTCGAACTTGCTGGGGTCATGAACGCCATTGGAGTTGAGACACATATGTTCATTCGAGGCAACACTTTTTTGAGAAGTTTCGATCCAATGATCCAAGCAACCCTCACTCAGCGCTATGAAGACGCTGGCGTGATAATCCACAAGAATCACAAAGGATTTAAAGAGATTGTCGGGCTCGGAGAAGGGAAAGGGGAAGAGAAATTACTCAGACTCGTTCAGAGTAGCGGAGAGGAATTAGACGTCAACGAGTTATTATGGGCCATTGGTCGAGCTCCAGAAATTGAAAAGCTGAATCCAGCAAAGATTGGGGTCAATCTCGCAAAGAAGGGCCATATCGATGTCGACGAGTATCAAAACACCAATGTCGAAGGCGTCTACGCTCTGGGAGATGTAACCGGACAGGCAGAGTTGACACCAGTGGCCATTGCAGCAGGTCGCGCCCTCTCAAACCGAATTTTCGGCTCGCAGCACCCGTCCGGCGGGCCTCATTTGCCCCAAAAAATAGACTACTCCAACATTCCAACGGTCGTCTTCGCCCATCCCGAGGTTGGTACAATCGGACTGACTGAGCCCGCTGCTATCGACGAATACGGCAAGGATAACATCAAGACCTACCACACGCGCTTCACACCCATGTTCTATTCTTTCCATCCTGCAGAGGAAAAAAAACTGCAACCGACGGAGTACAAGCTTATATGTCAGGGCAGCGAGGAGAAGATTGTAGGCATGCATATCTTAGGAGCTGGCAGCAGTGAAATGATGCAGGGCTTTGGAGTGGCAGTAAAGATGGGAGCTAGGAAGATGGATTTCGATGCATGCGTGGCCATTCACCCAACAAGTGCTGAGGAATTGGTTACCATGAGGTGAAAAGGCCAGATACTTTGGGTAGAGTCCCCAGAGAACTTCAAACCTCACATCTTCGTCCTCATCTTTCCTGACAGTGACCGCGCCACACAGCCTTTCCATCAACCTTGGTTATCTAATGAAAGACTTTTCTCCCTACTCAAGCCCGAGCATCCGGCAATAGAAGTCCACCGTCTTTTTGTCCGAGCCTTCCGAACACTGCCCAGGGACACACCGCGATGTTGCATGCTACCAATGACACATATTCCGTCCAAGCAGGCTCGAGGCGAGACAAGGCTACCAGTACAATGCATCTCGGCGACCGTCATTTTCCTTGGGTGCTTACATCAGTGTAGGAGAAAAAAGGTGACGGGACACACAGTACACACAGCCACACGAAAATTGACAGAATGCTAATGTGCGAAAGACCAGAATTGTGGCACATTGCGTATATTTTCAGTGCAGACGTTTCACCGGTCGCAGTTAATCGGAAGGATTTCAGTCAGCCTGGAGGCTCTGCGGTGCTCCTTCGTGGGGGCGCAGCGGCCTAAGGCAACCAAGCCCTGTCACCTCCGCTGTGCGGTGAAAAAAATAACCCACAAATTCCAGGTTACTATTGATGTGGCTCAATTACAAACCAATGCCTGCCATTTCTGATACAATGTTACATCTGAATAATTAACAGCCACTGCTTCCGGGCGCTTCTGCTGCCAATGTACACCTTTGGTAAACCGAAGATACGCAGCCTGGAGACGAGGCTATGGAATCCATAAGCAACTCCTCTGTTTTTGGGGTCTCATCCGGTTATTTAGAGAATGTAGCCTTGCGTCCTAATTCACAAAACTTGGCGACATCCTGAGGATTCTCTCTTGCACTTCTTCATGCCCTTTGTTTTTCCCTGATCTTGTCGCTCAAATTTTCTACCTTCCTGAGATCAAGATAGACGAGACCCTCTGTCCATCATTCATCTGCATCTCCTAAGTCCACTCTCTCCTTCGAAAACAGGCCTTTCATAAGATGTGCTGGCCCGAGCTTGCCGGCCGCATCGAAGTCGAAGAACGACGCCCGCGAACCTGGAATGAGCCCCGTCGCAAGCGTCTCAACTTCGTCAGAGGTCATCAACGGGACTCCGACCAATGGGTGCCCACGCCAGGCCCAAGAAGACCTACAGAGCAGGAGATATGGGACCGGCAACGAGCGCGAGAAATGGACCAAAGATTCGTGCATCCTATGCCCCACCCACAGCTTCAAGGACACCATGACCCACAAATCACACAAATGCCGCATGATCCGGGGCCATGGCATCAAATTCAACCTGGCCACCATGTCCCTCAACCCGGGGTTGACCAACACGGCCACCACGGACACCAGCCACAGCTGAACCATCGATCCCATCATAGCGACGACGATATCATTGCCATCGAGGACTCGGGTGACGATGGCCACGACGGACACGACGATCACCGACATCTTGAGCCTCAGATCATCCACCTAAAGCCCCCCAAGTCCCATTTACCCAAAGGTCTCAAAGCGCACGCGAAAAAGTCGGGAGGTCACAAGCAGAAGTATTCGATCTCATCATCTTCCTCGGATGACAGTCGCAGTTCCGACGGCTCTTCTAAATTCACTGCGGGCTTTAGAGCTGGTCGGCGATCACTTTCTAGAACACCCGTTCCGAGAGGAAGAAGTAGGAGTCGTCTCACGGATGATAGCTTCGAAGATTTGATGCAGCAACGCTTCAGGAGTAGATCGAGAAGAGGGAGGCGATAGTGAGTTGGATGAGTATGATTGTCGTTCAGGCCCAAATTAGCGAGGTTGATGACTATTTGTGAGAGTCGCCATCTTTCCGTCGTGAGACGTCCTGGTTTTGGTCAGTCGACAGCTCGGGATTTATTGTCTTTTAGGGCTGTAATGAATGAAACGTCACGCTGTTCGTCCCTACTTACTGTGCTTTATCTGCATCTGCAAATGCGGTCGCGGGACCTGCATAAAGAATGGCCTTCCACTTTACCGGAAAAGAGAGGGCAAAGTTGCAATAAGGAACTCTGACCTTTTCTAATCGTACCTTAAGCTTTGTACGAGCTCGGTCAAGAACGATGAGCGAAACTTTGTCGGAATAGAAAGCATTTGGAGAGATATTTACAATCTCTCGTCTTCTCACGGGCAGATTGCCCCAATGTGAAGACACATGGCATCAAACCCTCCTCAAGAATTCAAGCCACACACAGCCGAACTGCTCTACCATATCATGTCAGGTCCCAAGCTCCATTCCAGCTCGATTCACGGTGCCACCTGCCCTCTTTGTTTATGACACTCCGGGGCACCGCAGAGCGCTCGATGACTGAGTTCTGAGGGCCAATCCTGTGACGAGGCAGCATTTGAGCGGCGATGGGTTGATTATCTCCGCTGGTAACGCCGCATCCTACGTCTTCCGGTTCTTCGGCCGTCTCTCTCCGCTCAATCCGACGAGGCTCAATACCAGGCCACCCGAGGCGTTGAACTTCCGCACCGACGGATGATATGGTGTCGCGGTCGTTGATGATTGTGCACCGTGTTTGGTCGGTTCGCAACTTGCGTCCCGAGGAACTGATGAGATATACTTCAAAAAATTTGACGTCAAAACCCCCATCATCTAAGGATCATTATCATCATCCAATGGCACACCTCCACAAGCGAAACAGCCGTGCTCCCTCAATTGTGCCATCTACTCCTTGGCCGGCGAATCATTGATGCCCGGCAGAGGCATTTTCCCTACTGTGAAAATGCAGAATCCCGTGTCTGAGTCCCATGTTTGCGCGCATGCGAGGTGCTTGCCGGGAGCGTAGACGTCGCCTTCGTTCAGGGAGCCGGACATCCATACGGCGAGGTGAAATATTCTGTGGTGGATGCCGCTGTTGAGCTAGAGACTACAGGAGCTGCCCCAACAGGTGATGCCGACTTTCAGGGCCTCTACTCTGCCAAGAGGGTCGTCGACGATGACTGAGAGCCGTACCCATCACGACAGCAACGTTGAAGGAGAGCCAGAATGTGAGCCAGAGGTGGAGAGGTGTCCGTATCATGGGGGCGGAGGCGAATGCAGCATGTTTAAAATGTGGTGTCAAATTCGCGGATAATGGCCCTTTGGGTCCTACTTCGTAGGTAAAGATGAACCTGGACCAGGCCTTTTGTTCGGCGGCGGCAAGCCTCGTATACATCTTTCAGTGCTTGCATTGTTGACATCGACGTTCACTAAGAAGTACTCTTGTGCTTCGCTCGGTGTTCGAAACAAGAATGTCTGATCTCGAATAGTTTAGCTGCCATCGAAGCGTGGAGGTCTTCTTGATTTATCTGAAAAATGCACCGCTTAGCGAATCACGGCTATCTTTTCTTCTACATGTCGGAAGTATAAAGTATGACTTGACTTTTGCGATAATTTTTCAAGACAAACAGTTGCACTTACAGCGCAAGGTCATATATGCGTTGGCGACCCATGCGCTCCCAGTCGCGCAACATTGAAAGTAGCTTGAAACCAGCAACAGCCAATCAATTGAGAATGACATCGGAGCATTTCTCTACTTACATGGCATTCGTCGTGCGCATATTCGATCTCTCATCTCCTTGTAATAGAGTAGTTGCGCACCTGGAAGCAACCACCAGCGTGGCTCTACAGCGGGGCTCAGATGCTGAAGCTGCATAATTTGTCTTAGAATTCAACTCACGTTTGGTGGGTACGTGTTGTTGTGTAATCAAGCGAAGCGTCTTCACATCCCTAGGTACCGTGTGGTCAATCTTTCCTCATCGCCACATTTCAGACCCTGGACTCCAATGGAGATAGTTTCTCCGGGTATCAAATCGAAACCACGATCGTCAAAACCCACATTATGATCTTCTCCCCAGTCCGGCTCTACCACCTCTATCACAAGCCCTTTGACAGGCACATCAGAGGATATCTCTATAGCTCCAGCCGTCTGTGGCGGCTTGAAGTCCTCGCTTGTGCCAGGAGCATGTGCGCGATTCAGGTCGCGGACATTGGGAATCAGTTTGAGCTTAACGTGTTTCGGCTTGGGTAGGTGCACATATTTAAGTGGTTCCGGCCAATTGACCGCTCTAGCAATGTGGTCGCCATCTTCGTTGCAGAGATATACTGCTACAACCGTCTGCTGCTCATCTTCACTCCTCATGGTATGGCCATCAGTCAATTCCAGGACCTTGTCCTTGTGTTCTTCAGACACTGGGATATCGAACTCAGAGATCTCCGTGCTGCGATTTGGAGGAAGCAGTAGTCTGGTGAATAAGTTGCCATGCTCTTCTTGTTCCCCAGTCACTAGATTGCAGGTTTTAACGTGAACGAACACCTCGTGGGCATCGAGCGAGAGGTTACACGCCCACATTTCAATTCTATGTACAGTCTTCATGTAGGCGCGGGTGTATTTGTCTGCAAAAGTCGTGTGCACTGTCCGCTTCAGACCGATAGTAAGGGGTCGCAGCTCACGCTTGACCGCAAAATAGGCCAATTTAGGTCGTAGGTAATAGTCAACAATCGACCATGATGTGCAAGCCCAGCAGTCATTCAGTTGCCATATTAATGCGCCAGAGCAGTACTCTCGGCCTGGACCTTTCCATTGTCGTTTCCATAGCTTGTATGCGAAGGAGACGCACTCAGCCTGCATAAGCTGCGTACAATAAACGTACTGCTCGAAGGGTTCGAGTGTGTACGGTATGTTCTCCGCTAGATAGAGAGCCAATCTGCGCTCATGCCCGGCGGCCTTATTGTGAAAATCTACTGTCGAGGACTGAGGATACCTGTCAGTATCAAGATTGGCATCCTGGAGATAGCTTTCAACGGTCATAATGTTCGGAAATGCTTCCATGCCAAACTCTGACACGAATCTTCCACTCAACTTGTCGAAGTCCTGGTACTTTTCCTGCGTACCGTGCCATACATTCCACTGATGAATATCTCCGACATGTGGGTCTGTCGTGTCGTTCCCACCGTAAGGCGACCCAAAATGATAAAACGTCCCTGGCACAAGCTCCTTGGTTACGTCCACGAGAATCTTTTCGTATATATATCTTGCCGGGAATGTGGTTTTCAACCAATTTTCAGGGTCCTGGTCATTGGGATCGTATTCCAGATTCTCTGCTTCTCGATACTGATAGTCCTCGTTGTTGCCTGACCAGATCACAATGGAGGGATGATGCCGGAGAAGTTTTACGTTTTCCACCGCTTCACGCTTCACCAAGTCCAAGAACTCCTCATGTGCCGGATAGTTGCCACAAGCAAAAGGGAAGTCCTGCCAGAGGAGGACCCCCATCTCGTCGCAAGCTTCATAGAAATCTTGTTCTTCAAATATACCGCCGCCCCAAGCTCGAAGCATAACCTGGTGCCCGTCGACCGCCATTTTCACCCAGTCACGGTATTTCTTACGACCGATTGATTGGGTGAACGAGCTTGCAGGAATCCAGTTGCTACCACCGCAAAATATTGGGATGTTGTTGACCTCGAAAAGAAAGGTACTACCAGGAGCATCGTCAAGCTTGCGCTGGATGACTTCGGCTCTCCTGAGCCCAAAGCGCTTGCTTGCTGTATCTAAAACCTCTTTCTTCCGGCTTAGCGTAGCACTTAGAACATAGAGCGGTTGCTCGCCATAGGTATGAGGATACCACAGCCTTGGATTCTGACTCTTGAAAGAAGCCATTGCGAAGCTTTTCTCTACCATGACCCTTTCTGCACCCATCATCTTTCCCTCAAGTGAGATTTCGAAAATCACTTCATCTCCATCTCCATCTCCACCCCCTTCGACCTCTGCCTTGGCTACCACCTCAGCCGATTTCAATGACTTACCCACTTCTGTCGTGAAATACAGATCTGCAATGCGTGAATGATAGACCTCTAGATTTATTGGCCGCCATGGACCACAGGTGAGCAAACACGGTCCCCAGTCCCAACCCTAGCATTGGGGTCAGTAAAAGTGTTTGAAGACTGCGGAAGGAATCAAATCACATAGTGGTACTGAGCCTTTCTGACGGCGAGCCGACTGGGATCGCCGTTCCAGCAACCCCAATGGTGATCTGGATGTTGCTCTACAAACTTCTTACCGATCAAGTAGGTGCTATCGAAGGTGATCTCCAGGATGTTCTCTTCCTCTGAACGGAGGAGTTCTGTGACGACGACCCTTTCGGGAATGAACATGTCCTTGGTTTTGAGGATCTCTTTGCCGTTGAGGACTGCCGTTGCATACGTATCCAACCCGTCGAAAGTAAGTACGGCCTTCTCATCTGGACCTACAGTTGGTGTAGGAAAAGTGCCTTTGTAGACCCAAGATTTCTCACCAACCCATTGACAATCATTCTCTCTCTTGCCAATCAAGGGATCTGAGATGATACCATTGTGAAGTAAATCCACGTGTACATTAGTTGGCATATCAAGAACTTCCATCCATTCAGAAGCTGAACAGTGCGCCTGGCGAAATGTCCAACTCTGTCTGTCGTCGAGAGGGAAAATCTTTCGAGTAACCATGCTGTTCAAAGTTGAGTCGACACTGGTCCAGTCACGCATGCTTTGTCCAACATCTACAATGTTAATGTGGCGGTGCGCCCATATGGATGCGGCTGTTTGTAGCGGTTGGGCAAACGCAACGGAGAACGGACTTGGCAAGGCAGAACTACGTCTACAGTGCATATAATTCCAGGTTTAGAGGACAAAGAGCTCGGAGCTCTGTGCATTGGCGGCACCATAGTGCTCTTCTATCGACCGCAACACATCCTTGAAGGAGCAACATACCCTCCAAACGACAACAGCACACAGAAGTCACGCTTCAGCGATGTTGCTCTGCCAAGGATACCCAATCTACTCACAATCCAACATGGACCAACAACGCCAAGCTACTTGAATCGCAAGACCTTGACTAAGATCAGCAGCAGCCTCCTCTTCTTCGCCTTCCTGCTCCATCTAGTCTGAAGACAGCCTCCCATTCTCTCATGCCACCGCCCCATGCTCCGATACCTGCTGTCGCTCTCCCCTGCCCTTTCCGCCTTCTCCTCCCCAGACCTCCCTCCTCGATTATCGTCCCCGCACTCTTAACACTTCCCTCGTCCTCCCATCCTCCACTATCCCCATACTGTATTCCACTCATTGGATCATCCGGATCAATTTCGCCTAGCTCGATCTTTGTCAAGATCATGCCTGCAAGACGCGCAAAGATCTCTTCTACCCCATCTCCAGTGAATGCGCTTACTTCGACAGAGACAGGTATCGCAGAGCGTGATGCCCATCGAGAGGCCTCTTCGACGGTGACTTCGCGTCCTTCAGTAGCGACGGTGGCAGTCAGCTGAGAGCCAAGTCCGTAGCCTATGGAGGAATGACTAGAGCTAAGTCTGGCTCCTGCCCCAATAGACTCATCTGAAAATGTAGATTGCCTACTGGACGCGCTGTTGGCCGACGCGGAAGCATTGGGTAAAGACTCGGATGCCAAATCCAATTTGTTGCCAGCTAGGAGAAGCGTAAGATTTGGAGAAGCCAGAGCTCGAGCATCGTAGAGAAAAGTTGGAAGAGCATTGAATGAAGCATGAGATGCGAGGTCATAGACCAAAATCGCACCAGCTGCACCACGATAATAAGATCGCGATACCGAGCGGAATCTTTCGGTCCCAGCTGTGTCCCATAGTTGTAGCTTGATTCTTTTTCGCCGAGCGCCAGTACCAACTTTGATGATTTTGGAGGAAAATTCAACGCCGATTGTCTGGCTGGACAATACTCGCCCTTTGGCTTATCAGCCTCTAGGAAGACACACGCACAGAGATATTTACAGACATTCGTTCTTGACGATTCGGTGAAGGAGGCAGGACCTGGAGCGAGATAAGCTCTAGGGTTTGCCGAGGAGCTGAGGGCATGAACGAACTTGCCGCTGCCGCTTGGTCCTAGAAGAATGACCTTTGCAAGATAATCGTACATGCTTCCAAGTTCCTGAAAAGAAATGCCTGTCGTTAGCAGATTTATTAAGTAAAAGCGTGGCGAAATTTACCTGGTCATTGACCGATGAGTTGCTCGAAACATTGGATCCTCGTCGTTGACGCGCCATATTGGCGTGTTCCTTGATGTTTGTGATTGGTTTATGATGGGGCCTGGCAGGACCAGGTAGCTTTTGCGAAGACTCACATCTCACCGACAATGAGTGTCAGTCAATAGCGAACGTACGAATAGCTACCTTATCTATGCTTCATCCGTCACTGGCGCTAAGAAATGATGAGTAAGATAAAATCAACCAATCAATCTGGCGACGGTTTGGCTTCCGCTAAGGTGCTTCAAACCTCAATTTTCTGCTCTGAGTTCGTCTGTCCAATTCGTCTACAGCTTCATAATCGCCGAATGCTCTAGAACTCGCTCCAATTCGATCGGAACAACTCGCCTCATGATGCCTGGCCATTTCTCATCTATGTCGACAGCTGCACCATCTCGCATAATGCTTCGGCACACCCGTTTTATCGCACGCCAGACCACGAGGCGACATGCCTCAACCACAGAAGCGGCCAAAGACACGGCCACGAAATCCAAAGAGACAGCTTCAAATGCGACCTCGAAAGCTTCACAAGGCCTTTCAAGAGTGACTTCGTCTGCCGGACCAGCCGTGAGCGGTGCAGCACAAGGGGTCAGCAAAGCTATCGGCAACATTGGAGGACGGACAGGAAGGATGATATCTTTCGTGCAGTGTGAGTCAAAGCCTGCCACTCGCTCGCAAGGTCGTTCTGCGAATCAATTGGGGCACCCAGAGCTCTACCCACGCAAAAATGGACGATACATTCTGTGGACTACGGCACTGTTTCTCTGTTATTTTGAACATTGATAGCCCTTAATTTTCATTTTATCGCTTTGACATGCGCATCAGAAAAGGTTGCTGACTGGCGAAACCAGCAATGGTACCCCCTACGATCTATTACTCTAAAGTTGGCTTTGAGCTCTCAAAGCTAGTCTTCAAGGGACAGAAGATGAACCCACCGTGAGTCTTCAGCCTTTTTTCTTCTTCTTCTCTTTCCCCGTCCTCAAACTTCGTAAGATGGCTGGTTCTTGTATAGGTAGCTGATTGCTTGATTCAATGTCAGGGATCTCGCGGCGTTCCAAAGATACACTCAGCCGGTCATTAATGCCATCCGAAACCCCGCCGGCCTCCTCAATCACACTACCGATACTGCCAGCACCATGTCCCCTGAGGGTATTTTGAGCCGGATCAGGAATGCCAACAGGCAACAATTGGTTTCAGCAGGGGTGATTGGGGCAGAGGTTTTAGGTTTCTTTACTGTGGGTGAAATGATTGGGAGAATGAAGCTGGTCGGCTACAGAGGAGATACTGAGCATCACGAGACCGCGACTTCAACATAGTTCGAATATTTTTCGCCATCAAGTACAATACGCTGCAGTCGCGAAGGGCAGGCGTGCTAGAAGGGTTCGCCGAGACGCTGGAAAAGATTCGGACTTCGGGGTCGCAAGCTCTTGCATCTGCACATACCATGTCGCTATAGAGATGTTATCATGTACAACAGACCAAAAGCAATGAACTCTTGCGGAACAGAAAGAGAGATAGAGACTACATTCGTAGAACCATGGGACCCTGAAGAGCTTGGCAGAATACGTAAGATAGTGCCGCTTTTAGCTGGGTGACCGGGGTGACGCGACACCAGCATGCCTGAACAGATTGATGCGGACTCTCTTCAAGCGACACCCCATCCATCACGTTAACCCACGAGCCGTGTGTTCACTCCAGATATGATCATTATCTCCTTATGAGACCAATCCGAAACATCTTCGTACACAGAACCGCAGCCTCCCACAAAGCAACATTCTTGGACTTCGTCTTTGGCATGTTAACAATTGTAGCTACTAGGAAAATAGATTTGTGCTCTGCGCATCCCGAATCGTTCTCTTCAGTATGATCATTGTACTCATCTCTGCTTTCGAACCACGACCGGCACACGCTGCATCTCGTCCGCTCGTCACCGTCATCCGAGCGGGGACTCAGACTTCTTGGGCTGCTTAGGTCTGTGGCATAGTCATTGTCGTCATCGTAGTCGTAGGTGGAGGGGAAGGGGGGTGGGCTGTCGTTGCCACTGTCGCTTGAGGCTGTTCCAAGTCTCGTCCGCTGGCGTTAAGTATATAGAGGGAGCGTGGGAAGCTTACAAAGGCTGCTTGAATTACCCTCGTGAGCATCACAGAGCTTTTTCTGTCCAACCGCTCCTCTCCACAGAATCTACAGTATGTATGAATCGTTGTTGATCTTGCGCAGCACCTCTGACAGTACTTGGCTTTCCAGGATCCCAACTCGCGTTAGTGTGCCCGCGACTCCTCCCACCACTTTGGCACCACTTCTCCATGGGTAAAAGGGGCAAAACCCCAGGTGAGACGGCCGAAGATTAATACTGTAGTACGTCAGTATTTGCCAAATAAGCTTCCGCTTTGGCTAAGGTTGAGATATATAGAAGATGTGAATGTAAAAGTCGCTTGGCAACAGTAGAGTTATTCTATTAGTACTGGATGCGCAAGGCCGAAACCGGTGACTAGAGAGCAAACTATCAAGCTAGACAGGTATGGAATGTCAACAGTAAAGGAACAACGGGAGAACAGGACGAAAGGACCTACTGCGACGGATAAAAAAGCTGATCGCGTCTTGCCCAGCCTTGATCAATCTGCCCTCGAGCTCACTGAATTCCTCTTTACCTAAGACTCCTACTCGCTGCCGGAAAAGGATGCCTCGCAAGTAGATTGAAAGGAATGGGTGCAGGTCACTAGACGCAATGAGGTGTATTACGTTGCCGAAGCTGCAGTAAGTGACCTCGTGGCCCCCAAGTCCTCAAAGATAGGCCGATTGCAGCAGCCAATCTTTCAAGCTCTCTCGAGGATCGCTTGCTTCATCCTCACAAGGGACTACCGTCTAAAATTTCCTCGTCCAGAAATTCTTCGACCTTGAAATCGTGACCGACAGGAATGCATTCCAAGATGCTGCAAGAAGAAACGCGTGTCATGGCCTCTCGGCCGAATTTGCTATTGGGGTAGGAACCGATGTAGAAAGGCGAGACAAGATGGCGACGTGAGATTCCACGAACGGCATCTCAATTCCGTGAAGGGTGGGAAATTCTTGAACGGCAGCATCCCACCCTGAAATGATGTCTATGCAGCCTCGTTTGTGAAATATCTTGATTGCTTACTACTGCACAGATGCCCTGCAATACATTTTCATCGGACGAAGAGACGCAACAGTACAGCTCGGTCAAAGATTCAGCACAACATTCATTGATAAAAAGGGATATGTGGTAGAGAGACCGGATGATATGGATGTATTCGAGTAGCAATTTCCAAGTGACGCTTTTCTCTACTTTTATCCTCTCGTGCGTGTGGCTCGAATATTTCTCTGAGCAGTAAAGTATGGTCCGATACATAGCTTCTAGGATGCCCATATGAAGCTTGACAAACTAAGCATTAGATGGATCGAAACTATCAAAATATTGGTACTGTAATATCGAAAATATCGAAGATGATAATAGATTTCAGAGCGGGAATCAGCCTTCTGGGACTCTATTCTCTCAATCGATTTGATTTGCTACGGTGCGCTAGGGCTTGATCCGGATCACCCTGGCGCAAGGCGTAGGTCTCCCGGGTCGGATCACCGGTGGTGCCGCTTTAGCGTCTCTCCAGGCGGCGCTCACTCGAGGCCCAGTTTGGGGGTTAATATTGGGCAGTATCATAATTGTGAAGCGAACAATATTCTTGCCCAAGTACGCTTTTACGCACAATTTACCGTGAGAGTCATTCAAACAACCTTAGGATCCATGAGGCTGTCATGATACTGCATAACTCCAGTGCGCTTGCCCAAAGCTAAGACAATGGATATGTTCAAGTTGTTAACAAGATCCTCAAATATACAAAAATCTGCTCCAGCTCCCAAAAAGTCCTCTAGCCGTCAGATCCCATCAGATGGATTTTCAGGTCATCCTTATCAAGATTCCGAGAATGGTGATGCCTTCTTCGGCAATGAGAAAGCCAAGAGTAGAGGCACAAAGCGGAAGAGGAGTGGGGTGGAGGAAAAGCATGACGATGGGCTCCTTGGGCAGTTGGATTTCTTCAGAGGTGGCGCTCGATCTCCGGTCTCATCAGAGAAGCAGGCCATGGATAGTGGAAAAGGGGCTACCACCAGGAAACTAGACGTGCAGGATGCTCACATTACGAATCCTTTCATTCCAGACTTGAGTGAGGAAGAGGGTTGGCGAACCTTGAAGAAACACAAGCTCAAAGTTACCGTTCTGGGGGACGCATCTGGAATCCAAAGTAGTCACCATGACGAACAAAAAGGGACAACTTCAGAGCCTGTGGGGAAGAAGAACGCACATCCTCAAATATCACCACAGCCTTTGACTTCGTTCATACAACTACGGAGTAAGTACGGCATTTCGAGAAAACTTGCAGGGAACTTGGACGCTCAAGGGTATACGGAGCCTAGTGAAGTTCAAATGGGCAGCCTACCGCTCTTACTAGGGACGGACGAGGATCGTGGGCTGATATCACGACGGGATAAGAGGAGCGAGACAGAGCCAAGAGCTGACATTGATCTACTCACAATTGCTCCAACTGGTAGCGGAAAGACCTTGGGTTTCTTGATACATGTACTGCAGGGATTGCTTGAAAGCCGGAAGGCTCAAAGGGAAACCAAGGCAGACAAGAGGTCAGAGCATAGGGTTCAGGCTTTGATAATTGCTCCCACTCATGAGCTCGCAGACCAGATTGTCAACGAGGGAAGAAAGCTCGCATCAGGTACTGGCATAAAGATCTCCGGGCTGAGGAAAGGCATGAGATTGCACCCGGACCTTGTGGGCTTGAAACATGGTGACACTACGCAGGGCGTGACGGACGATACCCCCGGAGGACACACACATGACTTTCTGGTGAAGACGGATATTGTAGTCAGCACCCCCTTGTTGTTTTTGCATGCCATCTCAGCGAAACAGTCAGGCGCAGCTTCTCTCCCAGATATTCGTTTCCTCATCCTCGACGAAGCGGACGTTCTCCTTGATCCGCTTTTTCGAGAGCAGACACTCG